AAAATCCCCAATATAGGTCGAATCAGCTGTCTGTCGGTAGGTATTTGAAGTAGGTGAAACGCACTCAAAACAAAAACTCTGGCGAGGGAAGGTTCAATTCTTTCCCTTTATATTAATTCAATAATTTAATTAACCCAACATTAGCACAAATTATTTTAATTTAACATTTTATTGGTGTTAAGTAATTATTCTAAAAAGGTTACCTGGACATTTCAAGAAATTTACCTTAACATCTTAAAAATGTTAGCACAACCATTTTCGAAATATTATAATATAGTATACTCGGAGTATACTCCGACATATCAAGAATGTTTAATTAACCAGATTAGTAGATTAGAACAAATATTCTCATTTTGTTCATTTGACTAATATTTGTTGTTCAATTAAACAATACAATTTGACATTTTTAGATGGTTAAGTAAACGTGCAAAAACCATTGCTTATATTTAGTGCATAAAGAGTTGAATTAATATTTTTTTGTTGTTTCAATAGCTTATTTTTTTCAGTGCAGTAGTAATGTTATACAGTAGTATTTAGTATAGTACTGTTAAAAAATAAAATAAAAATACAGGACTTAACGCAACATAAAATAACTTAAATAACATCAACTTAACAAGCCGGTATTAATTATATATGTATTATTTCATTAAATGTAAAATTTATCCGATTTTTAGTTATCAAAAAGTATTTTAACCCAGGGTTAAAATACTTTTTGATAACTAAAAATCGGATAAATTTTACATTTAAGTTAATAACCCTAATAACAACAAACTTATAGACTATTTTTGAATGACGCGCAAACTCGAAAACTATTTATTTTAGGTATAGGACATAGTACCTATATAGTAAATTTAAAAGTAAACTACGTACACGTCATCAATAAAACAAAAAATTTACGCATTGGTACCAACACTAAATGACTAAATCGAAGTCTGTAATTGAATATTTGAATGCATTTTAAACATCTTCAGTTGGCAACAATTAAGATGTTGTCATATTTACATTCAAATATTTCATATTTAAATGACACATAAAAAAGAAATTGACGTTTTAGAATTTCGAAGCTGTCAGTTGTGTTTTTGAATATTTCGTTTAATTCGTGTAATATTTCGTTTATTTTGTTCGTTGTTTGTGTTATTTTATATCGTTTAAGTTTTCATTGCCGTTTTTGTGTTTGTTATATATCGTTTTTTTGTGTTTCCTATATTTAAAATGCCGAAGCATTTAAATAGTCGGAGTCAAGAGTTGGTGTCATCCTTAATACTCTATTTTGAGGCAGAACGGGATAATAATGGACCTTTGTTACCTTTAACAGCTGTTAGAGAGGTAAATAGGATTATTATTAATTATATATTAGAATATTTAACAAAATATTTGTTGGATACATAAAATAATAATATATATACCAGAGACTGACTTTAGATGGCAAAATTTTTGGATTTTATATCAGAAAATGTCTTTAAAAATGGCTAAAAACATACTTTTGGCGGTGCATCATTTCCCAGATAACCAAAGTTTCTTAGTAAACCTAAAGAAACGCGTTGTCGGCAATAACAAGCTGGCATATTTCATGCAACAGTAAGCCAATAAGTTGGAAGTCAAAAACATTTCCCGTCAGTTGCATGCAAACTGCAAGAAAAATGTTTAGGCCCAAGTTTGACACGTATTTCCAATAATTTCTGATTAATAGTTGTATTCAACAGAGGTGTAACCGACGGGCAACACATTTCCTAAAATACCTTGTTGGTCAGTTGCATGAAAACTGCAAGAAATTTGTTTCCGCCCAAGATAGCCGCTTATTTTCAATAGATTCCAGTCAACAATTGTATGCAACAGAGGTGCAACGGACGGCCAACATATTTCCCACAATAAAGAACCGCGCTTGCGCGAGAGTCCCCGCTACCGTTGCTCACCATTTGTTCTTTATAATTTATGGTTTGTTCTGCGAGTGTGTGTACGACGTGTTGATTAATATAAACAAGAAATCTATTATATATCAGGTATGTTTTATGCACGCAATAGTTATCTATTAGCTTTAGCTGTACCTATATCCATATGGAAAAATCTAAAAATCCTTTGAAAATAAAAAAAATACAAAAAAGAAACCAAGACGTAAGTAAATTTTTAAATAATTTGTTATATTGAAGTGAAACTTCTTTCGGCATGTACCTAAATAGAGGCTATAAAAATGTAGGATTTTTTGAAGATGTAGTTTTTTCTTTGAAGTATTATAATTTTATAAGGGTTTTTATCCAAATAACATTAATTTATTTAAAATTTCAGAAGCTATTATAATAGCGGTAATTTTAAATTAATTAATTAATGTAATATCTTTTTTGTATACAAAAATTTGTTGTAGTATACTACAACAAATTTTTATAAAGCACACCTTACCGCCCTTGTAAAATTTGCATTTTTGAACCAATTTTTATCGCTCTTATATATATCTGTATAAAATACCAGCTAGGCATTTTTTAATTTTTTGATAATCAAAAATGTGCCGTGAATAAACACATTTAGTGGATATTTTAATAGAACCAAATGCTTCCCAAGAAACGACAAAATTTACCATAGTGTAAAAAATTATCAAATTATTAATTAAAATCTGACTGAAAAAATTGTCAAGCCAAGCGTTAATAAATTATTTTTATTTTTCAGATTGATTATGGGGCCTTTACACATTCATAAAATGTTCAGGAAGTTTATCTCCGACGAGATATGCAATATACATGGGGGGATGAGCAAGGCAATCATCCCCTTTACAACCCTGGTCTTGTTAGGGCTATTTTTGGTATGTTAAATAATGTTTTATACAAACTAAACATATGTTTATTGCTAAACATATATTTATTGCAGGAGCTGTGGGTACCAATAAAAACTTTGATCCACCAACGCGTGTTGAACTTCAAAGAGAGGTAACGGCGAGGTGGCAAAAGTTTTGCCGCAAAACAGCGTCAACGTATTACCGCTAAAGCCTGATTTATAGATTTCCTTCCTTCCTTCCTTCCTTCCTTCCTTCCTTCCTCTCATAAAAGATGAACAATACCAAAAAACGTAGTGCCATTTAAAGATTCCCGTATGGGAATCTTTAAAAAGCACAACGGTTTTTGTATTGTTCATATTCTACGGAAGGAAGGAAGGAAGAAAGGCAATCTATAAATCAGGCTTAAGCGTCGAGATCCAAACGTAAACAATGAAGATTCCATAAGGCTGCGCCTGTTTGAAGCCGATAATTTATATAATAATAAATATATTTATTATTCCCGGCTGAAGGACGAAAGTCAATGGCCTTTTGAAAAATGTATTTTTTTCAATAAAGAACATTTATTATTATTATTATTATTATTTATTATTATATAAATTATCGGCTTATAAGGTTATTCTGTTGTGTATATAAATATTTATAATATTTTATTTCTTTGTGAATATAGGTATTTTTGTAATAAAACGACGTTTGAAAAAGTTCGAGTATGAAAATTTATGCCTAACCCTCTTTTAAAATAACAATACCAATAAATGAGGCATACTGAATTTGGTGGCAATTTGCCGATAACGTATCGGAAATTAAAATGAATAGGTAAATGAAGCGTTTGGAACCAGAGTGGCCTAACCCACAAATGTTTTTTCTTAAATGATGTTACAATCATTTTAGGACAATATATTTTTCGGAAATGAAAAACTTTGTTAAAAAAAGCACCCAAATATATATATATATTGTCCTAAAATTATAACCCCATTTTAGAATAAATGTTTGTGGGTAAGGCCACTCTGGTTCTCAACGCTTCATTTATTAATTTATTTTAATTTCTGATTCGTTATCGGCAAATTGCCTCCAAATTCAGTGAATTTGAATAGGTAAATCATTTCCTATCCGTTGCCCACAATCAGTATACGCAAAAGGTTTCCCGTGTGTTGCCGGTGGGTTGCACACTATAAGTTGTCAGGAAACATTTCCGCCTATAAACTCTTATGTTGTCCACAATAATTATAAGCAAAAGGTTTCCCGTCGGTTGCCGGTGGATTGCACACAATATATTGTTAGAAAAGATTTTTGTCTACAGACAGTCAAATGGTGGCACCCACTTGACAGCAAACGGCTACCATATCAAGAGAACGAATAGTAGGCAACTGACCGGCAAACGGAAGGACGCTGGTTATCTGGGTTAGGTTATAAAAACTCAGACTTTTGACATTTTGGTTTTATTCATGTAAACGCCATCTATCGCCCTGTAGTTGCACTACCACTTTCCCTTGATGCAAGAATTTTAGCATCACATTGACAACCGTGCCCGATCAGCTGATTGATGACGTGTACGTAGTTTACTTTTAAATTTACTATAGTTATTTTACTTAGAATTTTATGTAGAATTAAAACATGTAAAAATATATGGATTGTACCATTTAAAAATAAACTTAAATGGATTTTAAACCCTTTTAAAATTTCAAATCGATATCTTTATTCGTTCTCCAGAAACTTCCAATGGACCACAAATGTGAAACACCCTGTATATACTGAACAGAAAATATTTTAGATTGTATGCTCTTTAACTTAGTTTAAAAACCAGATTTTTTTAAGAAATATCAACGCTCAAAAAAAACTTGACTTTAAAGACATTTCTGTATACTTTTAATTATTTTTACCTATAGGTAGGCAAACAAATTGAAAAAATATATTATGTAATAAAAATAATAATACCAACAATAGATCCAAAGTTGCATGCTACGATTTTATAAAAAGGTATTATGATTTATGAATGAGCAGATAAATGCTACTACCGACTGTAGTAGTAAGTAGTAGGCGTGTATAGCAAAAAAAATCAACATCAACAGACACACGATCGTGTGAAAATATTGACGTATGACGACTGAGTAGGCCATACATACGTGTGTCGTAATAGCCAATGTTAAGAAATACGATATTGGCGTAAATAGAGTCGATTTTTCCATAACAAACTAAGTTTACTTGATTATGTTAACGATTCCGTGCATATATCGAATTTAGTCAGAATATCGAAGTGTAACATACAACATAAAATATGAGCTGTCCGGCAAGGTTATCGTGGTATGTACTAAATTAGATAAGAAAAATTAGAATTTTTGATTGTGATGTTCGGGGCTTTACTTTTTTTACATAAAATATTTTTTTCTGACCGAAGATATTTTAGGTATCTTGACAAAATGGCACTTTTTATGAAATTACTTTTTCCACGGGAAAAAAGTTTTTTTCCGGATACGTAAACATAAGTAAGAAAATAAAAATATTTAATTTAAGAATATTTAATTATACCATGTTTTTATATTAAAAATTGATTATTCAAAATAACTGTCTAAAAAAACTTAAGTTTGCAATTGTTTATTATTTTTTCAGAGAGTTATTTATTAAATATTTTGAATATTCAAGTTCAAAGTTTTTTTATCAACTCAGGTCCCACTGTCGCTATAAGTACAATACCCTACCAATTTAAAACTTCAAACTTGACATCGATTGATTTTCTGACTTTAATATTATGTTTTTAATGTTAAATTGTCGTTTTTTCCGTCACAGACAAAAATAGTTTACTATACACGGATAAAAAGTTTATTAAAATAAATTAAAAAGTAAAAATATTATCTAGAGGTCCCAATTAATATTAATTAATAATGGAAGTTCGATCACAACAAATTATTATTTTTTAGAAAGAGGTTCCGAAATTTTGTGACGTAAATTATTAAGATAACCTTTCTAGATTATTTATTCCATAAAATTAAATTAAATGAGAATATGTTTGCTAAATTTAAACTTACTAACAAAACAGAGATCCTATCTTTTAATGAATTTCTCATTTTTTTTTATTTTTTACTATTACTATATAGAAATTTATTTGGTGGCAAAACAGCACCAAAATTATAAATATCTATTTATTTATACATTCAGCATTTAAAATTGCTATATTTCGATTTTTTCTCTCAATGTTTTTTTTTGGACTTCCAAACTTTTTTTAATGGCGTTTATTAAATAATGGACATTATCTTGCTTTGTTTAAAATATATTAGAAAAAATAAGTCAAATTTCACAACCAGTTAATAAAATAAAATAAAATGCCTATGATTAAAATATTTTGTGAAATTAAATAAAGCAAATTAAATAATAATTAATTAAATACCAAATTAAAATAATTTGTTTTACATTTTACAAAGTAGAAGCAAAATTTGACCATATGGTTTTTGGCCAGTTTCCTTTAGAATTTTTTTATTTAAAACTATTTATATTTATTGGATCTTTAAACTAAAAATGTCAATTAAACAATTGCATAGGAATATTATGCTATTCATCACCCACATTATATTAATATAATATAAATAAATAAGTGGCGGCTGGTGGATTTTGGGACCCACATGAAATTTATATGAGTTTACAATGACATTAAATAGACAAGTTCTGCGAAAGCAGAATTTAAATTAAACTTTGCGAAAAAAAGTTAATTTTTAAGTGTGCCCCCCAGCCTCCTGCTCCCCCAAATTAAAATAATTCAAATTAAAGTGGTACAATATTTAATTCACTGCAGTTTATCGATAAATTTCAAATTTTAATAAAAAATTTCAAGAATTACCATTTTAAATTTTTATTATTTCTTTTACTAAATTTTAAAAAAATAGTAATGGTATAAAATATGTAATAGGGTCATTTTCAAGAAACACCCGCATTCAGGAAAATGAAGATCAAAATATTTTTTTAGCTTAAATTGACTTTTGGTTGGATTTTTTATAAATGTTTAGAGTTTTGTTTACTTACATTTAAGACAGGCAGTGCACTTAATTTTTTTACGTTTTTTTCAGAAAAATGTGTTTAGCTACCTTAATATATCTCCATTACTAATTTGAAATCCAAAATTTAATTCAATAAAAAAAGTTGTTATAAAAATAATTTGTTCACAAACTTTTATTTTATTTTTTATTAAAAATTGTATGCTTTTTTTTTAAATATGTATGTTTGTTAAGTTACTTTTTAAACGAAACCATTCCGATTCTTTGTTAAAAAACAATACCATTAATAATTTCTTTTAGTCACTGTATTAGTGAATTAAACTCTAATTTATAAACACGTATTACCAAGTGATAGTGTATAAAAATCATTTTGAGTATTTTTTTTTAACAAAAACTAAAAAAAGTATCGAAATAGACATTGGTATCACAACGGACAGGGACTTAATCAGATAACGTAAAAAAGAAACTATATAGGGTGGTACGATTTTAGTACTTTAATATTGCGTGGAATTTTTCCTTGGATGTAATCTATATCATGAGTTGTAATTACAAATAATTTTAAATTGGTTAATCATAAACTACTTTTAATAAAAGTCACGGTAAATATCCACTTTGTTGTCGAAAAATTCTATTGCGTTACCCTAAATTCCATTACGTTACCATAAGGTAACATAGTGGACTCGGTAACGCAGTGGACAAAGTTTTGTAAAACCATTTAAAAAATAATAATAAGACATTACAGTTATTAATTACTCTCAATGAGCTTTAATGCCCTAAAATAAACATAAACATAAAAAATAGTATTTTTTCTTACCTTATTTTTATTATTTTTTTGAGTAACTTAGCGGACAAACAATTATTACATTCGCGTTACCCGCACCTGTTTCAACCGATATCTTCTTCCTGATTGAATAAATAATTTCAGATGGGTAATGTGTACGTCCGAACATCATTTGTTGATCACGTGAGTACCAAAAAAGTTGCCATATATATGTTTTTTTTAATATCCTCTCGGTAACGCGACGGACGTAACGCAACGGAAAAAATGTCTGGGACATGAGTCAAATTTAAAAAAAGTAGATTAAAATTAATTATTTTATATATAAATTGTTTACTGTATTAACTAAGGATGTTATGGATTGCTATAAAGCAACACAAAGTTCTGGTTATTCAATATTTAAAAAACATGTATGTGTTTTATAAAGGCTTGTTAGGCTTTCACTTGGTTTTTAAATCAATAAGATCCGATAATTTTTAACAAAGTTATTGGAATTTAAACTTACGGACAGCGGAAGGCGGGTGTTTTTTAAAAACGACCCAATACTTGTATTTTTTTAATAAAATTTGAAATTTGTCGATAAACTTCAGTGAATTAAATATTGTTCCACTTTAATTTGAATCATCTAAATTTGGGGTGGGACAGGAGGCTGGAGGGGCACACTTAAAAACTAAATTTTTTTGCAAACTTCAATTTGAATTCTGCTGGCGCAGAACTTGTCTATATTATGACATTATAAACTCATATAAATTTGATTTGGGTCCCATGTCTAATAACTGAGATATGGGTGTGCCCAAAATCCACCAGCCGCCACCAATTTTTTTTATTTTTAATTATTTTTTATCAGATCCGTTTTATAAACATTTAATGTTTTTTTCTCCAAATAACCAATAATAATTAACAATTTTAAATATTTATTATTATTCTTATTATTATTATTATTATTATTATTATTATTATTATTATTATTATTATTATTATTATTATTATTATTATTATTATTATGTCATACTAGTTCAAAATTTTGTTTTTTTTATTGCTTTTGATTCACTAATCTTTATTAATAAAATTACAAAATATGAAATTAAATGAATTAAAGTATTATGTAAATATTATTTATTTATTTGAGACTATCTACTATAATAAAATTAAATTAACTTTTCGGATTTTTTTTTAGTATTTAAATTGTAGATGTAATAACCAAGGACCGGATTTTAGGCAAAATGCCTTTTTGTTTCTAGTTTAGGCATTTGTTTGGGACCTTGAAATTAATCCTAAACTTAAAAAAAAGCGTTTGACACCCCTTAGTTTTTGCCTAAAATGGCGAAATTTTTATTTATTGTCCAAAAAGGACATTTTTATGAGCCTAAAATAGGCTCTTTTAAATTTTTAGTAAAAAATATATTTTTCATTGCGGAAAAGTAAATAATTTTTAATTAGACCCTGCTTTCATGCTCTTATTTCGCTTAGACGCCCTTGGCGAGTACGAGGACCACAAATTACAAAACTAGTGAAAACCTAATAAAAAAAAGTAATTGTGTTTTTGCTATCTAAATATTTATTATAAATAATTATGGATAATATTAAGTTTGTAAAATAATGGTTGAAAATTATTATTTACTTTGTTTTCATAGGTTTTACTGTAATTTCATTATATGGGGCGGGCATTCCACGTTACTCGGTAATTTTTGTCCCGCCTGTCACAATTAAAAATTGTGAGTAAAAACCACAAGTTATTAAATTAATATTTTATAATATTATTTTTATTGTGCTTATAACTTATTAAAATCATAATAAACAATATTTTAAAATAAATTTTATAACGTGCAGTTTTTACTCACAATTTTTAATTGTGACGGGCGGGACAATAATCCCTGAGTAACGTGGAATGACCCATATGTATTACATATATGGTAGTTTCAGACTTTTTAACAGTTTTTAGTAATATAATTAGTCGCCATCTATGGCATAATTAAATAACTCTCCACAATTTACCACTTTGACAACCTTTGGAATCAATGTATCGTGCTTTTGTTTGTATTTGTTTATATTTTTGTTCAGCGTCGCCTGTTTATTCCAATATATATCGGCAAAAGATTCGCTTTAAATTTTACAAGGAAGGTTTTCATTTTCTTTATTCATACGGGCAATTGTTTGCAAGAGTTTGTGTTATTATTTTTATTATGTATTTTTTGATTTATTTTATTGGTGGAACCTGAATAAATGTTATTTTTAATCGTGTTGTTTTTATTTCATAGTTTAGGCGGTTGAGGCCTATTTTAGACACTTTCGGCCTAAAACGGCCTAAAATGTAGGTTTTTATTGCCTACTTATGTGTCCTAATTTCCAATTTTTAAGGGCCTAAAATCCGGTCTTTGGTAATAACGAATATGCACCGCGGGAATTAATAAATGTGTATGCCTTCGGAAAGAAGGCAACACATCTAATTTAGGGGTAAGCCACTTACTATAGCTAAGCTTTTTTTCACCTTATTTTCGGGCCTTTAAAAAAAAATATTATTTTCCAATCTTTTCGTAAAA